GACAACTGTCGATGTACGGTTCGGATATTTTACCCACGTACAACAGGGATATTATACCCCTGTTCAGACGTATACTTTTGTGAGAATCATTAATTTTGTATAAAATGTGCGTATTTTTAGAGAAAGACCTTTTAAAAGTTTTCACAACACCGTGAAAACGTACGTCCAATTTAACCTTTAATTTACCTATTCAACTAATTTTGTGTGACTCAAAGTTCGTGGTTGGAGGGGGGCAAAACTCTGCTACCTCATGTATCAGAGGTATACCCCTACCAGGGAACTTTGATAGCCAAACTCATGAGTTTCCCAGTCCTATACAAAACTGATTCACACCCCCCACCGGTTATCAAAACTCAAGTACAGTACTATTTTTGTACGCAGTACCTCCAGTTTCCCAGCCTGGATACTTATTTTTTATTTCATTTACAGCTACAAACTATCGAATTTGCGATTAATTAAATCAGATTGTTCGAGTCACACCTCACAAGGCTATTAATTCCATTTCGTTATGGATTCACTTTTGGTATATAGTCAATGGTTGCAGTAAACAATTCTTTTAAAACAAATTTGCTAATGTAGTATAACGGAAATCGGCAATACAGAAGCTAGCTTCTTATAATCAGCGCATGGCACATTACTATCTTCCTATTATACTCTATCCATCTGAAGCATAATTCCGCCAAAAATAATCAGATGTCTAAAAAAGTCAAAGTCTAAATCTAAAACTCTCCCTTATGGAAGAACGGTCGCTTTTCTGCTTTGTTTATTTAAAAAATGTCATTTCACATCACGGGGGTTTAACGTTAGATAATGCGCCCACGACGTTAACATTGCTCTTAAATCTTACATTTTTAATAAATATTGTTAAGTTTTAACTCCCTTTTTTGAGCAAATTTTACCCTTAGACAGACATGTTTTGAAATGGGTACGGTAACTTATTTGAGTTCAAGCTTGTAGGAATTTGTTAGTTTTGTTGTCGTGTTGAAACATTTTATGAATATTGTATTTCATGGTATCATAAAAATCTTCATTCTTAGCATACAAATAAAATGGAACGTTCTTCTGTTTTGAGAGAAAATCGGCAAAGGCCCAGAGCACCACCATCCCCATTGATGTTTGAGTCAGATGAAGACCCGGAAGAAGAAGGTAGGCCTAAGCCTAGAACCATGATGATACGATTTTGTGACCTAAAAAGATCAAAATTAATATCCACTTGGGTAAACCCAATTCGTTTATACATACATGTCGGGCTGCACTTTACTTTAGGTCCTACACAAACAACCAAATTGAAACAATCGAATGAAAATAGCGAATCGAAAAGAACAATCGAATGAGTGTAGGACGTCAAGTAAAGTGCAGCCGAAGTAACCATCCCTTAGGGCCTAGACTTGAAATCCTAAATTAACTTAGGCTAGGTCTATCCTAATCTCAGGCCTACACAGCCTAACATATCGTGTCCTCTGAAAGTTGATAGGCTACTCAGCATAGGCCTGGATCTTTAGGCCTAAACTCCTTATTGAGTTATTGTTTACCTATTTTCTAACTGCCTAACTTAATGTTAGGTATTGTTTTATGATTCCCTATTTGAAAATACAAGGCTAACATAAGACAACAATGAGCCAAGTTTAAGCAGGACAACACAATAAAAAGTTGTGTAAGTTTATTAGCTTACACAATGAGAGTCAGTGAGAGAGCATAGACTATGCAAAATACTAGGCTAACTTAACTTATTTTTATACTAGGCATAGTTAAGTTATTTTTCAGTTTCCCCAGTATTTTTACTAAGTTAAGCCAAAACAAAAAAGGAGCTAACATAAACTAGGCCACAAATCGGTCCATTATTAGGTTTAACTTAAACCTAAACCTTAGGCCTACCTCCCTAATCTAACCTAACAAAACTTGAAAACACTTCAAGGAAAGGTTCCTTCAAAGGTGAGTTAAATTTCATTTCATGGATCTTGTTTCAGACTTGGCAAACAACAGTAACAAAGAGAATGCAGAGGAGAGCGTTGTCGAGCTTAACAAAGAGGAAAAAATTTTAAAAGGTTTTCAAACAGTGTTGATGGGGATTCCTCCTCCTCCGGCTTTCACTGTACCACAGCTCGATTGCCGGGAAATCCTCAAGTTATGGAGGGAAAACCAGTCCTTCAGAGTTACATTGTCTCCTGAAAAACGTAAGTTTTACACAAATCATTGTTTTTTATGTGCACTTGCGCCACTGATATATTGGGGGGGGGGGGGGGGGAATTTTTCAGATAGCTGCCATGATGAATGTATAGCCTAAGTTAATTTTGTAAAAGCAGCCCAAAAAAGTGTTTTTAAGTAGTTATCTACTATTAACACCAACATTTTGCTATGTGTAAATAGTAAAATATTCTGACGAAACTTCCAGAAGAGGATTCTTTTGTAGGCCTGACGATGGTGGAGTTAAAGAACTGTCGAAACATGTAGCAAGTAAAATTCGACACTACGGTAGGCCTACATGTTAAGGGTTGCGTGACAAGGTACGTTTTCACCATTATTAGTCATAAAATGCAATCCTGGGGCTATCAAAATGAATTATAAGATAACTTTGTCGCAAAATCATACTACCGTATTGATGGTAGTTAAGGTATTGTTGGTATTTTGCCTGGCGATTTTTGTAGAAGGCAGCCTGTGAGTGGAGCAACCCCTCCTTGTCTGCTCTATTTTGTAACTTTGTTATTAATATGTCTAATTTTGCAACAAAATAGCCTACTTTTTGCAAAAGTATTCATGCCCATAAAGTTGCTTGAATTTTTAAGCCCTGGAAAAATTTACGCTAATATTGTACAGTACCGTGTTAGAGTGGGGAGCGAGCTGGTCTAGTGGTTAGAGCGCGGGATTCCGGTTCCAGGGGTATCGGGTTAAAATCCTTCCAAATCACCAATGGATTTTATCTAAGTGATAATGCCGCAACCCCTAGGTCTAGCCTGAAGTAATGTGAAAAACAATCCCGGGCTCAAGCCTAGCGTCTTATAAAAAAAAGTACCTTGTTGGAGTAGAGTAATGGATAGAGTAGACTATATTGTTGAATGTGTTGAAGACATTGTCTATTGCAATAGGGGCCTACTGAGAACATGTTGGCTGACAATACAGATTCTGAATTGTAAATTGAAAAACTTCCAATTCGTCCATTAAATAGATAGGCTAAAAAGGCTAAAAAACTTTCAAAGTGCCCTTCCGTTGTTGACTGGTTTACCCCCGAGTTAGCTAGATGGAAAACAGTAGTTCTGATGCTGAAAGATAGGTCTCAGTCGGCAGTTGCACCTGATGTCAGGGACCACTTCCATGGATTGTACTTACAAGCTAAGAGAATGTATAGCCGTAAGATTGAGACAGCCAAAAAGGATGCCTATGGTAAGTACATAACCGAGGCGCAAAACCCATGTAAGGCAGCTTGGAGTGTTGTAAACAGTAACCGTACTAGGCCTAGTGTGTTTGCTTGTAAAGCCAGTCCTGATGAGGCAAATGAGTTTTTTATTGGTTCTGTGACCAGTATAATGAATGAGATTCCCGCATCTAATATTGACCCTGTTGTAAATCTAGGGCCTATGCAATCTGGCAATAGAGTGAGACTTAGTGAATGGAATTTAGTTACTGAAGCTGATGTTTTGAGTGTAATAAGGGCTTGTAAGGACTCAAGTAGCCTAGATGTCTATGGAATGTCGGTGTCGCTGTTTAAGAAGGTTGCTACTGTTATAGTATCCCCTCTTACTTATGTCATCAACCTCTGTCTTGCCGATGGCCATTTTCCTGATGCACTAAAAACTTCTAAGACGGTTCCTATCTTCAAAAAAGGAGACCCGGAAGAAATAAGTAGCTATAGGCCAATATCTATACTCCCTGTCTTAAGCAAAATAATTGAAAAAATCATGAAAAAACAACTTGTGGAGTTTTTTGAGGGAAATAGCCTTTTGTCTAGCACTCAACATGGATTCAGGTCGGGAAAATCTACCACCTCAGCAGTTATGGACCTTGTCAAGCAAGTCTCAGATGCATTTGAAAATAGAGATTCAATACTTTTAACATTATGTGACTTAACAAAGGCCTTTGACTGCGTTTCGCATAGCCTTTTGTTGGACAAACTTCGCCACTATGGTCTCTGTGGAAAGACTTTAAGTATGCTGGAGTCCTATTTGAATGGGAGGTTGCAGTGTGTAGCTATTAACGGCTCGACATCGGCTACTAAACTTGTACCCTATGGGGTACCGCAAGGCTCAGTGCTGGGTCCCCTGCTGTTCATTTTACACATCAATGACCTTAGTGTTGAGGGGGGAGTGCTAATGTTCGCAGATGACACCACTCTTCTCAGTAGGGGGCGAAACCCTGGTGAACTGATCGCCAACCAGGAACTGGCTTTCGACCAAGCCAAGACATGGTTCCAATGTAATAAGCTACAACTGAACGAGTCAAAAACCCAGTTACTACTCTGCAGTCTCAGCGAAATAGAATTTCATAATGCTGCTGATCCCGTAAAACTGTTGGGTTTCACTCTGGACCGTAAGCTATCCTGGGATAAACACATTGATGTGATCACCAAGAGATTGTCCAGAGTCTTGTTCCTGCTGCGGAAGCTTCAGAGCCTACTTGACCGCAAATACCTAACAGTGGTCTATCATGCCCTGTTCCATTCTCACATCAGCTATGGACTGCTTCTTTGGGGGCACGCTTCGGAGTGCTACAGACTGCTTTTGCTGCAGAAGGCAGCGGTGAGAATTATCACCTCTAGTGATTATCTAGATCACTGCCGGCCCCTGTTTCGGAGTTTGGACATACTCACCGTACCGTCTAACTACATCCTGGTTTCGCTGGTTTATGTTAAGCGACATGAGGCCTCCTTCACCACCAGAAGCGAAATACATGACCACTACGTAAGAAGCAGATCTAATCTGGACATCCCGAGGCGTAGGCTAGTTAAGACCTCAAAGCACTTCCCGGACTTAGCGTTGAAGATGTTTAATAAGCTTCCAACTAGGGTTAGACTGCTTGAGAAAAACCGCTTTGAACGTGTCTTGGTGCGGTGGCTAAAGGACATGGCTTTTTACTCAATTGACGAGTTTTTTGCCGATTCACTCTCCTCCCTGCTCGCCATTTGTACTCTGTAAATATTAATGATAGTTAATTGTTTTCATATTCAATTTTATGTATGAAGTGATGTTTTAATTTTTTATTGACATGAACAATCCAGTCTTCTCTGGTAAAAGTTCACGACAGAAGGTAGGTAAGGTAGGTAGATAGAATTTTGTATTGTTAAGTGACGTTTCCTATTAAATATTTAATTTTTTTTTGTCCCCGCAAGTTTGTTTTTGTTTACCCCAACCTTTCTAAATAGCCTACTTGGACATTTTTGTTTTATGCGGTAAGGGAAATTACCAAATAAATTGGCAGAGGGGAGGTTTAAATAGAGGGCAGAGTAAAATGTGGCGAACTGCTCTTCTGACTTGGGGTGGGGAATTGCGCCTCTGGCTTTAGGAGCATGCGCACCTCTGATTTCAATGTCTTTTTTTGTATGAAACTAATTTTAATGAAGGCTAAGGCTGTGATTTGGTTTGATAATTTTTCAAAATAGGTAAACTTATTTATAATTTTCAGGTGAAAACAACACAAGTGTGTGCAAGCAGGAAGAAAATGCAGCAAAAGATACAAAATGGCCTGAAACCTTACAACTTGATTATTGGGATGTATAGTAAGTAGAATATCCTACAATTAAATACAGATAAGTAGGGTACAGAGGAAATACACTAATAGTACCGTGAGCTTTCAGCTTTGTTATTTTATGCCGGAAATATATTTGTGACGAGCAAGGAAGAGCCTAAAATGACCAATGTGGAAAAATTCTTATCGCACAGTGCACAGGGACCTAGGGCACTGAAGCCCCACACTCTACCTTAATACGCATCTTTCTATTAGGGAGCATCACGAATAGTAGTACTTTAGTGCTAGATTAATGAGAACGATTATTTTGTAACATCATCTGAACTGTTGTATTGAGTAAGTGAAATAGCGCTCCTATTAAGAGCAACCCCCCTTAACGCGTTATTGTGGCTGTAACGTCCTTGTTGAGAAAAAATAGGTGACAGTAATAATAGTAATATTTCACCTATTACTGAAAAGCTAGGGAACGTTCCTAACTGTTATTGCAAAAAAGCTGTGTTCCCATCTTTATTCTGTAATGGCTATTCTACGGTCTGGGCGTAAACTAGGCTCTCCATCTTCTCCGATTCTTCCATAGTTCTCCTTCACCATCTATCCTCTCATTCCCCCTTCTCCACCTCTTGAATTCTTCTTACATATACTTGTATAATAACAATTTGTTACTAATTTTAGAATACAAGATCAAATCATTTAAAATTTAAATAAAATACATTTTCTTTTTTTTCTACAACTTAGATTTACCAAATTTATAACCACTTATTTTCTTTTCAGCTACAACAAGAGTTCAGCAAGTGAAGAGTTGGAACGTCTGAGTATTCGGTACAAAGAGAGGTATGTGGGAGTTGAAACGTCGTCCTGTGTCAATGCTCTGTTCGCTAAGAGTCCGTTGTGCACTGCCAGCGCTCGCAAAAGAGCGCGCCACCGAGCGTGGGGTCACAGTCCAGGTCGGCGACTCAGCCATCTGGCGCGCCGGCGCAAGGCGTTCTCATCAGCCAATCTGTGCAGTGTCGCCGGCAACAAGAATCCGGACAAGAAGATGATAATGGTGGAAATTAAGTAAGTCTAGTTAGTAAAAGCTTTAAAACCTCTTTGAAAATATTGATTTGATTTTAAGAATCTTCTCTTTGAATTGATAAGGTAGGTAGTTAATACTGAGACTAACTTTGTGTTCCTTATTTAATCCACTCCTATTCAAAGCAGCTTCCTACTCCTATCAGGACCATTAGTATTAAAAAACGTTGTGAAAGAAAATCAATGCTCACTGCCAAGTAATTGGCTAGAACACTAGATGATGAAGTAAGGAATAGGACTTGGTCTCAGATTTTACATAGCTAGTACCGTAGTTTAATTGTTTCAATTTTATCTGGGTCAGGTATCATTTCCTCCTTACAAAATATGACTCCACATGGCCTATTTCACTAGGGGAAAAACAGTACAAGAAATTGTTTAAGTTGAACTTTACATTAGGCCTAAATTGTTTAGAGTAAAATTGCCATTTGACACTATAAAAATATATAAACAAAGTCAGATATAAAAATTATCAATATTTTTATTTATCTTGTTCACAAAAGTGAAAAGACAAAATTTTTCTTGACCTATTATAAAAAATTAAGTATAAACTAAAACTGCTTTATAAAATAGGCCTACAACAGATTTTCAATTAAAGTCTTTCAAAATATTGTCAATCTTTAAATTATCTGACTGACATTTAATTTTGTGGGGAATATTTAAAAGCATAGTCATGGCATGATAATTTTCTTCATATTTAATCAAGCTGTCTTTCTAAACAAATGGTAACGATTACATGAACTAGAAACAAATACATAGGCCTATGTGGTATAGCCTAGAAATGTTTTCAAACTTTTTAGGTACCGGTACACTATAGTCATAGTAATTCAAAATACACTCTAGTTGAATTTAGCCATGAGTTTTACAAATATAGCCCAAAAATAGCGCAAATTTGGAATAAATCATTCTATTCTTTTACAACTAGGCTACTCATAATCTTTTCTAATTTCTTGTTAAAGGAAACTTGGCAACCGGCAGAAGAAAAAGGGATCAGCTAAGAAGACAAAACCGACGCCAAAGAAGAAGAGTGAAACCCAGTCAAGCAATTATAAAAGGGCTCTGTTCCAAAGTCCAGATCAGGATCCGACGTCCAAAACTCCAAACACTCATTGCGTCCAGAGATCCAAGCGGAATTTGTTTGCCGAGAGTAGTGAGAAAAAGAACCAGTTTGGGAAACGAGAGAGGCCGATGCCGAAGAGGGTGAGTCCTCGTAAGCGGGTGAACAGGAGCTTGTCGTTCCAAGAGAGTTTACAGCCTTCCGCCCCTCCTCGAGTGCCTCCGCCTAAACCACCTCCTACGGCCAATCAGCCGCAACCTTTGAGCGGAACCCATAAGCAGGTCAGATTATTTTTATTATAATTATTTTAGCGGTTTAAGTTGCTTTAACCATAAGACTTGGACATGTGTGCTGAGATTTCAAAAGGGCTTTCTTTTGAAACCAATCCCGAGTATAGCTTGAGGCAAATAAATGCGTTCCTACAATCTCCCTGCGAGCGCTAGTGTGCTTATAGCCACACTTGTCACGTTTGGCTGTAATAAATTATATTAAAGTTGAACATCCTAACACTTTAAGAGCTTGAATAAGACTACACAGTCTGTTGCTGTAAATTTTTTCTGAAATATGGGGACAATCACAAGAATTAAACTGTACTTTTTACAGGGTTGAGGGTTGTGCCATTTCGTTTAGGGTTAAAAATACTAAAAATACTAAATTTAAATCAAAATTGTTAGTCGGTTTTGTGTGAAAATCTGGTTTTTTGTCTTTTTATAGGGTAAAATGGTAAATTACACAATTAAAAATCAAAATGAACGATAAATGAAAAAAACCTGGACATACTATGGATTAGTAGTAGGTATACTATCGTAGTATACTTTTCACATACTAAATTTCATAAAAATCAAACCACAGGTTTAGTATGTATATTCATCCAAACACATAAAATGCATCAAAACCCATTTTTTTGTGCTGGGAGACCCAAAAATGGATATTTCCAACCAAAACTCAAACTCAAAACTTTTGACAAAAACAATGTATGCCCTACTCTTGTTGTACTATGTATAGGGGGAGAGAGTAAAAAGTCATGACTCTTCGTTGTTCAACAGAAGATGCTGTGGGCTGCCACCAACGCCCTGCGAGAGGAGGGGATCAGGATGAGCCACGAGTTATTCCGTCCGTGCATGACCGTGCTGTTCCGTACATGCCACAGGTTGTGGCTCACGAGGTTTGGCGCAGACCTGCATGACGGAGAGGGTAGCACCAGCGAGCGCATGTTGGCTCTGGCTAAACAGTTCAGGTAAATATCAAGCTGCGGCTCTGGCTGTTTTGGTTTTCTCTGTTTTTTTTTTGACCACGGGCTTAAAAACCTATCCTCGGAGGTCACATTGTACGTTTTTGTAGGGAAAGTGGGCAAGTCTTATTTCAGTGCAGAAAGTTCACGCCCCCACCATCCATAAACTCACGAAACTCATAAAGAGTTTAGTGGTAGCTTTTGAGATTTTCTTGCTTAATTTTTACTCACCATATTTCCTTAAAACAAACTTTGGTTACAAAAATTCCAGAGAGGCCTAATAAAAACACAGGATGACATAAATCTTTTATATCTACTACAAAATTTACTTTATTGAATTTTTAACTTATTGAAACTCTTTTTATCGCCAAGACATGAAGATATGGGAACAAATGTTGCTGAATTCCTTGGAAACGATTACGTTATGACCGAGAACCCCACAACCCTGGTGTTAACAAGATCGTGGGGAATCGTTCATCAGTGTTTGCTATCAAAACAACTTAGTTTAGTTAGCCTATGCTGGCTTTTTGCGGGCCGTAAAACCTCTGCTCGTAGGCTGGAAAGCCCTAATCTAGACCATTCATATTTTTTACACTTCTTGTAAGTGCAAACTTGCCGACTAAGCAAAATTCTATTCCCCTGGTTGGATTTTCACTTAAATATTTTTTGAGCATGTCAGATTTATTCCCTATTTAAATCACATCAGGTTTAATGTTATTTATTATCACCATAATGTCTATAATATATATATGAATTTGAACGGATGATGTTTTTGGCCTCTGGGGACATCAAACCAAAAAAATAAATCGGATCGTGGGTTATGTCTTACCATGAGACCTACGATGATAGCTTTTTTCTCTATATTGGAAATTCTGTTCACAAACAGATAATTACTAACATAAAAAATGTTGATTTCAGCTCTTACACTGTCCGAGAGATCGGTTCAGACCCAACTTCAGAACACATGGCGCTCGTCTACAACAACAGCTTGAAGATGGCAGAGACAATTTTCAACCAACCCAGCAGCAGTGGAGTCAGTAAGATGTCTAAAAATATAAGCAGTGATTTGAATGTCAATAGTAAAACTACCAAACTATATATGGATATTGACACTGATAAGCCTGTGTTAGGGAGTAATAGAATAGCTAACGTAGAAATGAACAATAAAATAGTTGACAGAACAGATTCATCAGTAAAAGTAAAAGCTAAGAGTAAAACAAGGACTCCGAGTAAAAGTGATAGTGCAAGAGAGAATGCATCAAGAGAAGTATCTAATCTGCAAGTTTGTAATGCACAAACTATAGTGAAAAACACCCCGTCCAAAGTAATCTGCAGAGATTCACCTAGAAGCTCGCCTAGATTTGCCAAAAGACCGTTAGGTGATGCAAAAGTAAAAAATGCAGTTTGTAATGCTTTATTTCGTACTGAGAGTAAGGATCATCCAGAAACTACTAACATAATTTTTGATTGTGTGAGTAAACAAAATATTGATAGAAGTGGTTCAGTGACAGAAAGTGGTGTACAAAATTATTTGACATCTCCTAAGGATGAAAAACCTGAGTCAGGCCTTTCAAGTCAATTGAGTTCCCAAAGAGAAACTCCCTTGAAAAGTGCACTAACAGCCAGAGGAACTCCTAAAAGGACTTGTACAATACGTGAGTTAAGTGTTTCTAATTCCGTTGCCAGTGTTAGTTCATCGCCTATAACTCAACATGATGCAAAACAAACTCTTATACAAGCGCAAGAATCATGTAGATTGAAAGTGGTCGTACCAAGGCTTAATTTAGAAGAAGGTAATACGGGTTTGTGTGGGATTAGCAGACAATGTCCTGTAGTGAACAAAGGCAGTCCAGCAGAAAAAGAACAATATACTCGTCAAGATAAGCAAACCCCCTCGAAAAAGGTTAGTTTTAGAACAGTATCACCACTTAAAAGTTGTCAAGTTAACCTTATAAAACATTTTAGTGAAGCAAACACTAACAATGTTCCCTCACCTAGTGGTGGTCAGAACGGATCTGAAGCTAACTCTAGCTCAAGTTCAGTTTTGGAAACTACCACTGCTTCATCTTTTGCTAGTTACCAGATTACTGAGTCTTCAGGAGGACGACGAATCACTAGGAGCGTATCAACTGATACTAAAGTAATTGGCAATAAACCAATACATCATCTCTTTTCACCCCCAACAACACAAACGGCTAAGTTGTATAGTGATAAACTATCGAGTGAGAAACTTGCAAAAAAGGTTGATAGCAATGACTCGTTAATTAGTCCAGAAGCACAAAATACCCTACAAAATGGCAGTGATGGTGAACACTTGATGAGTTTAGGACCACGCCTAAAAAGAAGAGTCTCAAATGAGTTAAAAACCAAAATTTCTCAGGACTCTGGACCAGGTGCAGAAGTCAAAGTTCATGTAGAGAATCAGGTTGAGCAAACAGATTCTGTTGATTTACAACCTTCCCAAGCGTAGTCTTAGATCTACCAAATCACCAAAGAAGAAGACAGAACTTGTAGACAGATTTCTCAGGATGCTGAGTCCACAGGTTCTGCAAGCTCTAGTCAAAGTAAAGCGGAACACAGTGAACCCTTACCAGACTCGCCAGAATTTGTATCACCACAGACCCGATCAAGAAAAGCAAAATCAACCAAAAGTGTTTCCTCTAATGTTAGTCAAGCAAAACTCACCCCAAATAAATCAAAGAATGTAACAAATACTGTATCTCCTGGAATTTCAATTAACAAAAGCCATTTCGAACCGAAGGGCCAGTGTACTTTCGAGCGAATCTAGTTCCGGCAAAGACACTCCGGATAAATCTGTTTTCTCCGAAGAATATTCTGCAGACACTGAAAACTCTAGTGGAACTCCAATTTCAGGCAAATTGTATAGTGTGAAATCTAATTTTTCTGTAAAGAGACTGATGGAGAGAATGAAACAAACAAGGAAAACAAGATTAAAGAGCAAATTTGTGGTGATAAAAGCGTTGAAAGGCCAACTAGTCATAGGCATTTACTATCTGTCGAGAACACGCCGGTGAATCAGGTTGTGGCGGAGGAACCTGTCAATCGGATGCTGCAATTGTACAGACTATCTACAAGTGGGGGAGATGATTGAGAAACTATTACCGAACATCGTGTGTCTAGAACCACCGAAGTTAGAGCCTCACTGGGCAGACTGATGAAGGGGAAGCAGAAGATTCTACATCACCTCCGTCACTTGCTCCGCATTGGGAACAAGAAAGTTGCAGCGGTACAAGCACTTCTTTGCCCGAGTCCATAATGGAACATTGGCATCAACTGTCTGCCAAAGTAGTTGGACAGTCTACAGACAAAGTTATGTTTGACTTTGAAGACACATCGTACGAAATCACCTTTCCATCTGCCAATGAAGATTCAAGAGCTTCTTCCATATGTGCTCCTTTTGATTGCCCTTTTGTCATCGATGACTCAAAAAGTGGGTTCCACAATGTCTTCAGGAGAAGCAGTACTGAATCGAGTAACTAGTTACAATGTATATTTGAACATATTTGTTAGTAGACTTAGGCTAGTGATAATTTTGTACTATAGGCGATTTTATTTATTTTTTACGGGATTTAGGTGATTTTAGATTAGTTATTTATATGCTTGGAATTTTACTCACATTGAGTTAAGATTGTTGACTGACAATTGCCGATGTGCAATTAGTCTAGAAAATGTAATGGCCTACTTTATAGATAAAACACATTCTGTTGTAAGTTTATCATCCTTTCGTGTCAGCTGAAGACAATATTGATGTTGGTTTTGTCTGTTTCATATAGAGGGTGTGTTTTCAATACCCATTTAAAAACTAGTTTAATCACTTAAAACGACCTTCTTATAAATAATAGCTTCCTGAAGTTTTACAATCAAACAGTAAACAAAATCAAATCTACCGTGCCTTATAATAAGGAAAAGAATAATATATAGTAGACACAAGTGCCCAAACCATTCTAGCATAAATTCCATTCTAAGATGTAGCCAGTTTTATAATTAAGGTTTGGATCACAGAGACTTATACAGAGGAAACACATTTGAATGGGATGACTGTGCGCTTTTCAGCTCTGGTATGTTGTGCCGGAAATATACTTGTGACGAGCGAGGAGGGAGCCTGATCGGCGAGCACTGTGCAGAAATTCCTATCGCACAGGGCACAGGGTCTTCCTCCACAGTGACCGTTGTAGTATAAGAGGATAAGAGGGGCGGTGTTGGACTTGGCCCTAGACACCAGCACTAGTGCTAGACACCACTTGAGTGTTACCCAAGTGTACCAATGAGTGTTTCCTCTGTTACTTCTCTTTGGTTGGACGTAGTTAAATTGAACGAGTGTGTTGAAAGAATGAGTTGCTACTAATAAATTATTTCTGTAGTTGGCCTACACCCAAACTTTTTAACCTGGAGAAGCTCTTGAGTACAACCATAGACTAACCAACACAAGTAGACTTCCGATCCCATTGTAAATTTTGAAGCTTGTTTTTTGTGTCTAGTTAAAATTTTGTTTCTATTATTTCATAGTTAATTTCATGATTTGAGTTTTACTGTTTGGTTATATAACTAAAGGATGAGTTATTGTTCATGATTACATCGTTTTACTAGGTTAAACGGGGTTTCAAATTCCTGAAATAACAAGAAACAAATAGTAAACAAAACACAACCTCTTTAGTGCACCTGACAGAACTAACGATAAAATTGGCTTCAGCTGTTCCATAAGGATGGGAAATCTACTAAGGGAGTATGTTTCATTTATGGTACAACTTACTGTAAACTGAGGCATCTTTTCCGTCACAGGAACAATGGTAGTCTTAGTATAGCAGTCTCGATCTCAGGTTATCGGACCTTCGTGTTATATGGTCCTCCCAGCGGACGATGGGAGTTATAACTGTTTGGTAGGACTCAACCTAATAGCAAATGCAAGGGGACGAGCCCTTTTGCCTGTATTCAGAGATTCACATAAAGCTTTATGCACCTGCATTGCCTCCTTATTGTTTTAATACGCTGCATACCACGGCATTACCATAAAACTATGCATGTTTCATAGCTTTAATTATTTTCCGTGTTCAACGTTTTAATTTATGCAACATTGCTGCAGCCGGTTTTTGTCAAATCGTTAGTACAGTTTACTAAGAGAAAACAGAATTTTAAATATTTTGATGTTCTTTTGATGGTAGCACACTTGTGATAGGCTCATTCAGTTACGTTGTGTCATCGACAAAAAAAATTGGTTTTCAGGTAATTCCATGTAGATGGAATTTCTATTAATATTCATTCTCATAGCCCCAGGACTAAGTATGACTTTTTAGGCTATGGGCTTACCTCCGTTCCTTAGTGACGGATAATTGGGACAACAAACGGGAGGTAAACCATAGCCTAAAAAAGGAATTTCTACCAATTTACTAAAAATATCTTACTAATAATTTTACAAGACATTTATGTCAAATTTATTTATCCGAGTCTTGTTTTTTAAGTAAGGGTTGTTATTGCTAGTGGTTCATGTGTACACCGTAAATAGGTGGCTCACCACTTACAGGCATTATTTGTGAACAAAACGGCACCATTTGCAGCTCTGTAGCTGACGTGTACTCTTGGCTGTGTGTCTAGAAAATATTTCAAATGATTGAATCTCCTGCCACATGTAAGATAAGGTCAGTGACATGGTTTTTGACTGCGAGAAACATATCGGCTGCTGACTTTCATCACCAGTGACTGAAGTTTATGGCTTTAATGCAATCATAGAGGGCTAAGTGCAGAAATGGGTATGTGGAATAAAAACGTCTGTCTCGGAAGAAATTGTATTTTTGATGGGTACCCAGACTTCTCACAGAAGAAAAGTGTGCACTGCCACTTTACCACTCCCTAACCCATTCCCCCATTTTACCCTCACTCATTGCTTTGACAACGGCAGACCTTACAGCATCTGGCTATGACATTATCTTGCATGTGGTGAGAGCAATGATTTATAACATTTTCTAAACACACAGGGAAGCGTACTACATCACCTACAGAGCTGCAAATGGCACCATTCTGTAATTCCGAGTAAGAAAATCTCATTGGACATGCTATTTATTTAATGCAATTTCTCTTCAATTTCTTTTGCAAATTCTCTTAGTCGAGATGGATTAAAAATCCTGTGACTATGTACAACATTTTCTACACAAAGCAAAATTTTGTTTAAGTAGAAGAGTGGTCAGAGTACTTTCTTTACACAGATACAATTTTCATTGGGTTACCAATTAATGTTGCTTTCTAAAAATTTAGGTTGAAATAGTAACCATCGTAGTAACTTAAGACCAGAGTTTGGAATTTCTCCTTTCAAAATCTAAATCCTATTTTTTTTCTTTCAACGCCAGTGGCATTTCACGAGAGAGTTACGAGGGATAAATGTTTAGTGGATGTGCCGGGGATTGAACCAAACCCCCCGTTTTGTTTGTTTGGTTGATGTTAAAGTGGGTTATTCAACATCAATCAAATAACAAATTTGTTGCAGCAATGTTTGACTGTATCCAATGTTTTATCCATCTTTCTCACCTTAAAATTTGTAATTGCATAAAGTGTCAAATTACTTTTATCAGTGTAATATAATTTACTGAAATATATTTCAAATGCAAATTTAACTTAAATCCTGATGTGAAATTTGGAATTGTGAAATAGGGATTGCAAGACATGTAGGCCAAATAATCGTATCACTAAGGATAAATTAGTGAAAGTATAATCTAACATAACCAGACTATGTTTTTGAGGTTTATAATAATCGCTTATAAATTTACTGATACAGCACTGACTACTGTCATACATTTACCTGAATTTGCTCAACTACAAGCGTAAAGCATATTATGACTTCTCATTTCTCAACTATCTCAGGAACAAAAACTCTAATTTATTCAAATTAATTCTAACTTTAAATATCTTTGTAGACTTTTGAACTTTTCGTAAGATTTTACAGTTATTGTAGGTTAAGCATGATACAAAATTTTGAATAGGCTATGTTTATTTATGTAACCTGCAATTCATTTTTCTTTTGATATATGTTTCATGTTTTTATTAGTGATTTGAAAATATCATTACTAATACTTAATGTGGCTGCTGAAAAGTTGTTTTGTGTTTTAATGTTTCTTTAGTGTAAGAAAATAATTAACTAGGTTAATTTTTCAATTTCAGTGGAAAACATTGAGAAATGAAGGTGGAATTTAGTTTTACCCAATTTAGTTTTACGAAGACATCCCATCTATATGGACCAGCTGTCGCCAATTTTTTACTAAGAATTGATGCAGTTGTGTGAGCCAGTTACAGATTGCGCTAGTGTCTAAAACCATCTAAAACTCTATTTTGTACCTTAACTTTTTTTACTGACATAGTTGCTCGGTCAAAACAGTTGCTCACAATAAATCATTCTATCAGTTTGACTTGGTAAAAACCATCTTGCATTCGGCAGAAATCAGTAATTTAGATCAGCGCAATTTGTTGGTGGCTCACATCAACTAAGACAAATTTGATTAAAAACCTGGTGACTTTAACATGGGGATGGAATGTCTAACCCAAGTAATATGTACTAATTAATTTGTCTCCTTTTAAGAAGAAACACCCAAAGTGCCTGACATTTATCCTTTTGTTATGTTCTTCATTAGATAATGGTACCTATTAAAAATATAATAATTTGTGTATAACACGTAAGTGCCAAAATAACCAGTAAGTTACTGTAATAATATTTTATTCATTTTCAGTAGGCCTACTTTTCATTTCGGCACATACTGTATATAAAATAATGTAATCAATCTTCCTGTTAATTAGTCGTGTTATTTTAAACTCACCTGATCAACTTTAAACTCTTATCAAGATTTTATAATCGACTCAATCACGTTAAAACATGTTATTGACTGATGACATTTGAATGTGTTAATTGTTAAATAAAGAATATTGTGTGATACTTATTGTTATAATTCACCCCCATGTCTGTAGTGTAGGTAATTTATTGGCATAGAAAATTCCAGGAAAAGTCCCACAAGTGCAAGAATCAATTTAACAAATTAATTTATTGAATTTTAATGGCCTTTAATCCTATCTCACAATCTCATATTTAACCTTTTTACCAGACTGCTTTGGTATTAACAGTCTAGTAAATAAAGTACCTAAATTATGCATATACAGGGTGGCTGAAAAGTAACTTGCACCCCCCCCCCCTTAACTTTTCAACCATTTGAAATATTTGAAATCTATTTGTGGCAACCTTCTTAGATATGAGGGGCTACATTAATTATGGTCAGTTTTGAA